GAGAGAGAGAGAGAGAGAGAGAGAGAGAGAGAGAGAGAGAGAGAGAGAGAGAGAGAGAGAGAGAGAGAGAGACGAAACACGCACATGGTGTAATGCTGTCAGTCTTGACGACTACCGTCTTTCCCCGAACGCAACGCACCCTCGCTATGAATGTATACAAGCTAGATTTCCGGTCCCATATAGTCAAGATGGAGGTGCGTTATGTTCGGGGGAAGATGGCAGTACCTCCGAGCCTGTCTTTCGCAATGCAGATCTGCCTTACGAACCAAAAAGAAGAGAACCACCTGCAGTGTGTTTTCTTTTCCGCTTTGGCTGGCGTCGATCAACCATTGGGGTCCGATAGGACTGGTCATCCGAAGAATGCAGTAGTGGGCAAATTCGTCAAAGAAGATTGCCTGGGAGAGGTACTGGTGTTCTAAGCAACGACTTTGCTGAGCTGCCCTCCGCTGAAGATTTTCAAGCGCTGCGCGACAGCCAGGACCCCAAAATGATTACGTCGTTGTGGTTTGGTCCCGGTGGACGTTGGCGACCCACCCTGGGTGTATTGGGTCTCTGTCAACTGTGAAAACGTTTTTGTGGGCTGCACCATCTGGGTGTATTGGAGACGTCTTTGTGCGAATTGTGAAAACGTTTTTGTGTGCTGCAGGCACATGGTGCCTAGCGCCACCGTGGAGGGGAAACGAAATGCGGGTGTTGTGCAGGTGCCCACTAAATGTGAATTTTTATTTTGGAAAGGCTTTCGGAGGCCTGGTGTGGTGCAGCTGTACTCGTGCGGCCACCATGGAAAGCCCCTTGTGAGGTCATGCTGTTGTGCAAGCAAAAGCGGTGAAAGCCCCACTTGTAAGTAGAAGCTACGTGGCCTTGATTTCGGAATCCGGACAGAGATCCACCCTCTGCAGCTTGGTTAAGTCTCTCTACGAAGTCTTCCCCCGAACATAACGCACATGTTGTCAACTTGTCACTACCTGTTAATCCACATATAGAGGCGAGGGCTGTACGGGACTCATCCATGTCTGAACTGTTGCCCGGGCATGCACCAGGTTTTGTCATTCTCCGATGACAAAGACTCTGTAAGAAGTTTCTACCTCATGTTAATTGCTCTCCTGCTTGTCCATTTCCTCCTTTTATTGAGTTAATTGACGCATCTAAAACACGCCCACAAGTCGGCGATTCTGCCCGCCTGGATTTCTGCCTCCTGTCAGTTCTATTTGTGTTATCAATGCCCACAGAACTCGTCACAACCCTGTGCGCTCGAATTGCTGTCGCCTTTCACTTGCCATATGTCTGTTTTTTTTTTTTTTTTTTTTTTTTCAAAAGCCCAACCAGCGTCACTAGGGGGGGTGATACGAGCAGCCTCCTTGTAATCGATGGCCACTTTTTTGGCATTGCTGCCGCATGTCGATTGACCTGTGTATTCCATTTGCCACAAGCCATCGCTTCTGTGCACTGGACTGGTTCCCAACTTTCCGCATGTCAGTCGACGTGTGTAGACCACGGCGACTTTTACACAAGTCAAATGACTACCGGCAGCAAATTTTACACGGCTGGTAATTTGCTGCTATGGTAATTTGCTGCTACCAGTCAAATTTTACACGGCTGTGTAAAATCAATGGTGTAACAAATTCGTCAAATCCTGTCCTGTTCGCCGAGAGTGTTGCCACCTGTCAGTTGATCTTGTGTAATCCGCGGCCACGAGACATCACTACTATATGTTTGGATTGCTGCCAACGGCCTTAGGTCAGTCGGTACACCCACAAACTGTTGAAATACAGACCCGAGTTGGAATCCAGATACTATTCGATGAGCATAATAAAATTTTAAATAAATTTAATAACATGATTTTGAATTGCCTGGGGGCGGTCGGTTCAACGATGATATCTCAAGGCCATTTCCCTGTTTAAAAAGGTTGATTGTCATCCAACATGTCAGTTGATGTGTCCACAGTCGTCATTTTTATACACTGGGATCGCTGCCACCTGTCAGTTCAGCTGCGTATTTCATGGTCCCGAGTTACCAATTCTGTACACAGAGATGCTGCCATACCACCTGTCAATTGAACAGGCCCTGTAATTCATTGCCTCGAGTCGTTCATTCTTTCGACTGGGAAGTTGGTGAGGAACAAGCACTGTTTGTGGGACAGCATGACAAGCCCTTCGGAGAAGGGCTTTTACAAGGGGATGGATGGATGAAAAGTTTCAGGGTTTTTTTTTTTTTTTTTTTTAACAGAAAAAAGACGGGGAAACGTGGATGTATGTCGAATTGTCAATCCCTTGTGTGAAGATTCTACAACTCGGTCCCTTTTGCCACAAGCCGACATGTTTTTGCTGAATTGATTGCTGTTACGGATCCATGCAGGTCACCTGTTTCCAGGGTTCGTAGTGGCAGGCGATCACGTTCACCTCGGCGCTACCGAAGGTACGGCACTTGTGCTGCTGTCTTGTTATGGCACTGTTTTTTTTTGTATGTGAATGATGGTATATAGTCTGCGCATGAAGCGACAGAATATCAGGAGACACCACAAGTTTTCTGTCAGTCTTACACGGCATCGTACTTTCTTCCAATTTCACGGCATCGTACTAGAGGCAGAGGGTAGTAAGTTTACCAGGGAAGGAGTCTTGTGCAATTGGGGTCCTCCAAAGCAGCAACGAGGGACAGTCAATTTGAACGGCACCACACTTCGCCCGGTGAGTTGTTTTGGCCTTCATAGATGGACCTGGCCGTCTATGCCTGCATTGTACATGGACCTTTCCATTACATATCCATTGTCCATGGATCTGAGCACTGGGAGCTATGGGACAACAGCACCATGGTCAAGAAGGCCTTGATTGATGCCGGTGATTTCCTCGGCAATGATGATGCTTTCTTGCCCCATGAAACCGTGTGCACACTTCGTCACTCAGCACTTACGTCATGGATCACTTCTCTCCGCCACTGTGCTGCAACTGCCAATGCTCTGCACTGCAACCTCATCCTGTTCACAGCTACAGACACTGTTACACTCAGCTGGGGTATCATTGTCCCTTCTGCAATCCACTAGAATGCCAGGGTTTCTGCGCTCGTGTGTGTAGAAGGCTGTTTGGTGGGAAAATGCTTAAACCACCGGTATTGCAAGGAACTGCAAGGCAGCAACTCTGCCGACGCATACATAAAACTGATCGTGTGTGTGTGTGTGGGTGTTTGTGTGTGTGTGTTCGTGTGTGTGTGTGTGTGTGGGTTTGTGTGTTGTCATGTTCGCTGTACAGTGTATTATACACTTTTAAAAAAAGCATGGCTGTACCAGACTGTTTCCTCGGACTTTCACCGACTCATCAGGAGGTTGATCCCCGACAGTCTTCCCTGGATGCATTTGACTGGTGGATAAGGACTAAGGACTCACCACGTCGCCCAGAGTTATCGATACCCCTGACAGAGAAAAGCGGTAGACTTTACTCACACCAACCCTTGCACTCCTAGCAGACTGTCGTTCCAAACCCCTGACAAGAACGGCAGTAATTCTGAGAAACTAATCTGACACAGTCATTAAACCCACTCTACTCACCGCCTCAGCCATGGACACCCAATGGCATGACCGCTCGTACGCTCCTGTGTGTGTGTGTGTGTGTGTGTGTGTGTGTGTGTGTGTGTGTGCGTGCTCTCTTCCACGGTTTCCGCCTTGAACCACTTGACATTTCCCCTGGCGGGGTTTGTTTTTCCCGCTACCCCCCACCCAAAACAGTAGCAAAGATACAGAAACATGGCCAAAAAAAATTGGCGAATTAACCCGAGTGAGTTGGTTTGTGTATGCATGGATCTTGCAGATCAAGAAGCAGAAGCAGGAGCAGGAGCAAGTTATAAGAATACACAGAGCTTTGCAGTCTACATATTTCGTGCTTGCGATCTTCGATAAAAGGTCAACTGTGAGCAAATGTAGTTTTGTCACCTTTTGTGTGAGTGGGCGTGGGGAGGGATTTCCCTTTGGGTGTTTGCACTCACATCTGTCAGTGTTCACTGTTCAGTGCAGGTAAGCATACGTGCATGGCGTGGAAGGGGAGGGGTATTTAGTGAGCTTGGAAACCGCGATGATAGATAGAGGTGTGATAGGGGTTGCGGAGGGAGGGGTGGAGAGGGGGGTGAGGGGCACTGGCGGGTGTTAGACCGCGGGGAGGGGCTCACTGGGGCCCCCTCACCAGGATTAACCGACCGGTTGAAGTGTGTGGTGTCGAAAACATGTTGACATTGTTTAGCGTGGATTTCTTCCGCTTCGAGCCGACGCTTTTCTTGGTAAGTAGGACGGCTACAGCTGGCACCGACCTATGGAAGCTGGATGAGAGCCAGAGAGTTGTTTGTGTTTTATACATGTGTTCCGATGTACAGGAAGGGTGTTTCCCATTACAGACCTTTATGGAAGATTTTGGCACGAAGGAAAATCAATTGATTGTATTCACTTTGTGTGTTTGTTTGTGACACTTTTGTGTGTAAATATTAAATAAGAGTGAATCTCCATTCAGCTGAAGGATTTCATGTCTCCCTTCTGTGCATTGCTGAATTTGCTGTCCTCCAGTAAGAATAACGAACACGCAATTTGGCTGTGAGGGTTACGAAACTACACCCATGCATGTTCCCAGTGGAGTTGAAAAAGGGCTTCTAGACGGCACTGGCGGGGTTTCATTTCTTCACCCATTTTTTATTCTAAGTGTAGTGGGTCTAGTGACTGAGGTCTGTGTCAGCAAGTACATCGTTAGGGATTTCTTTTGTTCAAACCCAACTGTGTGTGTGTGTGTGTGTGTGCATATGTGTGTGTGTGTGTGTGCGTGTGTGCGTGCGTGTGTGTGGGTGCGTGTGCGTGTGCATGTGTGTCCGTGCGTGTGTGTGTGTGCGTGTGTGTGCGTGTGTGTGTGTGTG